TAATCTGCAACACGAAATGTATGCGAGAATCACCTTCCTCTCCGAAAAAGAGCTGCGAAGAGGCCCTGAAGCGCATACTTGCCGTCCTTGCAAAGCCGGCCCCGTATTCAACCGGACACGCTTCGCTTTTCACAAACGAGACGATCCCAGCGCTGTAATAGAATCCAGTCAGAGTTCGATGCATCAACGGGCCCCCAGAATCTCCCTGGAAGCATAATGACTCAAGTGCAAATCCCAGTTGTTTTCTTCCTCATTAATTCCTGTTTTTTGCTTACAAGGCAAATATTGCTTTCGGTTGACTGCGCGCAGATGAAGTTGCTGTTGATGAATAAACCATACTTGTTCCGACAAGTCTCTTGACTGATGACGTACACTGTCGCTTCCAGTAATTCCTCGGAGAGATCTGGTTCACCTGATATGCGGTTCCACAGTCGATAAAATGATAAACTAAATCATGCATTTCCCTAACCACTGCAACCTCAACATGGACTCACTTCCCAAAAAGCGACCCCATCCCGAGATCGTTACATTCGTTCCCACATCCGGGTTGACGCCGGAGGAGAGACATATGGGCCGGATGTGCGGAAAGGCCGAGAAGTTCAGCGGAGTCTCTAGTTTGAGGAGGGCGACGTCGTTGTTCAGCCAGGTCGGAGTATCGTACTGTGGATGGATGATGGCTCTCGCTGGAATCTGAATGGATTCGCTTTCGTCTGGAGTCGATCGGTCCAGGTCTCCCAAGGTCACGGTGAAGGAACCGGTTGGACTACATGTGAATATTGCATAATGATTCGCATTAATATTAATAATTATAAAGAGTGATTTTAAAAAATCCATAACGATATCTGTGGGAGAAAGTAAGATATTCCATCAATAATGATCAGATAGATCAACGCTTGATGTTGGATATGTCCAAAGTGTTAAGATGATTGCCTGTTTCTTTTTTATTATAGAAGATTATCTGAGTTATGCATTGTTCCGTTGCAATGTTTACAGTCGGAACATTGCACTTGAATGCTCCATCATACAAAAATTCAATTAATTAGTTAGCCAAAGTTAGGCCCTTAAAACGATTTCAATTCTGGGTATATTTTTATATTTCATATATTCTATGCAGGGTGATTCACGACGAACATAAACATTTTTTTATCTTTCAAATCTGAGCAATTTCTGAGCAACAAACATGACCAAACCACATCGGATGGTAGCATGTTAACATCCAATTTTCATTCACTCTTTCTTTCGAAGGGGCTTTTAGATGGAACTGATATTTTGTGCTAATGGGTCATGGGTCAATAATATTATTTTTCCTACCTAAAAAGTGGCACGAATCGTAGACAAAGGGCTCTGCAGTAGAGAATAAGGTCCTACTCAGCAGCGCCAACTTACAGAATGTGAAAATGCATTGAGGCAGTGATGCATTGATGCAGTGAGGTTCATGAAAAGATTCATGAACCTCATTGTCAAATCTCAACAGCATCCAACAGTCCCTTGAAAAGTTACAGCCAATCAAATTAGGTTGACGACTTTATAATAACCCTGTTGTAAGGAAGTTAGCACATGGTGTTGCGGGCCATGCTGTACAGATGATGATTGATACAGATGATGATGAGCTCATGATTAAATTAAAAATCGCTTTTTTTGTCCTCCGCTGCAAGTAGAAACTTGTTATTATCTGTTGCCTATTCTCCAAAATAGGTCGACTGTTTGCCAAATTCAATTGAATTCGAGATTCTCCATTACAGATCATTACCTCATTAAATGTGGAATTTTCACCTTTAAACGGTGTAAATTGGCATTGTACGACTTAGTTGCACGACTTAGGCATGGGTACTGAAAGATTTGACTTGCATCTCAAAACCTTGTAACCTTCCATTGTCGATCTCTATAGCAATGCATCATTTTTTTGCATTCATGAAGCTGTTTCTCCTATAGGAAAAGGCAGAGCGTTTCTTAAAGTCACCCCATGTTCTACGAGTTCTCATGGATTATCGGAGATGCAGTTTAAGCCTATTGGCTATTACAGGGATGTGTTCTCCTTTGAAAGACATTCACCATCGAGAATATTTAAATTGTCATATCGAAATATAAGGTATGACCCAAATGTTAAGGTGATCTCAGACCCGAGCAACACCCAGTATGCTGCACCAGACTATGGACTAGGCTGCCCATGCAACTAGATCCATGAAAGTATTACTCTTTCTTCTTGGGGAGGCTATCGATGAATTCACGTAACTCACCTCCAAAAGACGCAATGGGCAGCAGTGAGAACGTATCGATCGTTGATGAGGGCCCCTCCGCAGATGAATTCGTACTGGGCATTCCTCAACCAAGCCATCCAGGGATACTTTGTCTGACTCGGGACTCGTGTTCCTCCTATGATTCTCTCCAGGTCGGACACGGTCGCGTTCTCCTCGGGTTTCATTTCACTTTGGGAAACTCCGCACCCTGGGAATAGAGTTATGATATATATATTTGTGCATTGGTGTATATTGGCCTTCTCTGAGCTGATGGAGTTGCGTTTTTCTTAACTTACAGCAAGAGGTCGAAGCTCTCGATTCTGGAAGAGCAGACACCAGATGAGAAATGTTGAATTTTCAATCAATGTAAAAAAAAGATTGAGTTTACAAAAGAGCCATACATTTCGCAATACTAGTTCATATATTTTGGAACGCTGGTTTTTGAGTCATAACCGCAAGACGCAAAAGGGAATATTTGGAACACTCTTTGTTACTTTTGAATTATCTAGCTTAGAAAATTCGAATTCATACAAGGGGAAATATGAAGGGGACAACATCGACTTGAGTTGGAATCCTTGCGTACGCCAGACCAGGTTGTGGTTGTATCCAAAGCCGCCCTCGCATTTCATTGATAAGACGATATCACAGCCGTATACTACACGCTAGCTACTTTAGTTTAAAATAAGAATTTATCTCCTCCTTTGCTAGTAGGGGCCTATAACGGGAAATGGCCTGTGATATCGCGTCTTATCCTTCTATAAATAAAAAATCTGGAATGCACAGAAAATCCATGAGATTCCCAGTGTATACATGGAGTAGCGAGATATATAGTTTCATTGTGTATTTTAACTACCGGTCCACTGCCATGGCCACGATAGTATTTAAGTTGTTTCAAGCAAATACACTTTGTTTCTTCGTGGATTGTGATGGGCAGCCAGATGGTTCTTATGGGAGGATTTCTTGGAGGGAATGGGATCGCAAATATTTCAAAAAATAATCCAACAGCATGACTCTTGTTACTTCCTGCACATCCTACACTCGTCTTTGCAAAGCAAGAACGCTCCTCTCCCCTTATTGGATATAGGAAGAAGGCAGTATTGAGAATCCCATTGAAGCTGCGAGTGTCTGACTCCAGGGAGGATTGTCATTAAGTAAAGAAACGATCTTAAGAACTCAAGCTCTTTACTTAAGAAAATTCAACTGGCGGGGGAAGTGGATCTTTCGAAATTCGCTGAAATTATAGCATGAATGTTCTGTTTGAGATGTTACACTATACGAAAAGGATCCTGGAGATGAGGTCTTTGCAGCTGAAGAATTATCTGAGGAATTTAAAAATAAGAACCCATTCGGTAGAAACCTCCATGGATTTATTTATCCAAGTAAATAAATAAATAAATCGAAGTAAATGTTTACGGAAGTGACATTTTGAAACATGAGAACGCCAACGCGTCCTCTGGAAAGCTTGTGTTCGAATGATGATGTAGGTGACCTGCTTTGAATTTTTCATCACATTGTTACCTGAACACATTTTACAGTCACTTTTGAGACACATACTTTTTCAGAAACATGTTTCACTTAGTATGCTAAAATAGAAATTTAGAAATTTTCAGGTAAAAAAGTTCAATTCATACCAATATTATCCAAATAAGGCGAAAACAGTAACCTCTCCTATGACTTTAACATCTTGAAAGCATAAGAATTTGCCAAGACTCGACTTTTAAAGAAGTAATTGCAATCGATCATGAATGGAAAAAGCGAAAATTGCGATTATCGTTCACTTCATAATTTATGAAATGTTAAATTTTCCCTGATGAATTTTCCCTTCATCCCTTTTTCCTGGGAAAAGAGATGAAGCCAAGCTTCAGTGTTTCACAACCTCGGTCTCATTTTCTAAAACGTGGTATTTCAAATCATTCTCAATCAACTCTTGGGGTACGCCCCTTGCTTTGTGGGAAGAAAAGTGAGCCGGGAGAGAAACCACCCATTCGAAGGATTTAATCTTAATCTTCCCAATCTGACGAGAATATCGGCGACGAGGAAATGAAGTCAATATTGTGGTATTCCAGGGTGGGCGAAGGAGTATATCGTGCGGTACCTGGCCAGCGGGTCCAATCCAGCGACGACGGGGACCCTGCATCCTCCTCGTCCTATAGGAAATCGAACGAGTTGAGTTTTTGGAAATTGAATCGATTCTTCTTCGGCATGAGGACACCCAACAAACCCGAGCCCAGCAGAGTGTGAGAACGAGGAGAAGGACGGACGCCCCAGATGCTTCCATGCTCGGGAAGCCGCACTCTCAACGACCCAACAGGGTAATTCCGATAAGAAGCCACGATTCACCGCTTGGATGCCGTTGTCGTGATACGGAATCTAAATTTATGCTCTACATCCTGACGTGTGAATAGGGGTTTCCTGAAGTTGTGCCATTTCCATTTGGGCAGGTTCTAAACAAGGGCAGAACAAATTACCAATAAAGCAGATTTGAATCCCCGAATCATTCAAAATAAAAGATGTTGCAGCTGTTTTTCACATGTTGCAAGGTTCTTATTTTTTCGCATTTCAACATGTCGAAATCACGTCAAGAATTTTTGCCCGATCTTGACAATCCGGTTGCCATGATTAATAGTACTTGCGATTCATTTAAAATAAAAAAGTGAATGCCGCTATCAGACGTCAGTGGTGCTATCTCGCACGCTGTCGCTTATCTCCCCAAAGTCAGCATCCGCGACGGTCTGCATGAGGATGCCTCCACAAAGTCGAATCGTGTTCACAAAGGCACATTTCGACTGTGAATGGTTCATTCGTTCTATTGCTCTTCTCTCTGAGGCTTCGAAGACCAGTTCTAAAACGGAGAAATCTTATTTCTAATTTAGATGCCAGGGCGACAGGAAACGAAGATGGGCCCAAGTGGTACCCGTCTAAGCAGATGCGCAAGGAGTAGACCGATGCAGGGCGTCAAAATGATAAAATTCCTGTCGTTAAACTTTACCGGTGTAATTTTCTCGACGCGCTGGTCGGCATGAAAAAAAAATTCACAACCAAGCAGCACTCAAGGACAGCGGCTTCCTTGTCTCTTCCATCCCCCATTCTATCTTCCTCTGAAACATACCAACTCAGCTTGATTCTGACCCCCTTTCCTGGGAAAGAAACCTCCCTCATGGACAACATGAGAAGAGGATCCGCAATCACCTCCAAAGATGTTGGAACATGGGAGAGAAGGAAGAATAAATACGAAGACAGTGATGGCGAAGTCCCTTTTAAAAGAACGACTCTACAGTGCAGTATATGGCAGTGATTTATACATTCAACGACCGTTCAATTGTAACGCATGAGTGTGTTCCGCTGTATGAATTGACTGTTAGACTCGTTCGATTGCGTCTTGCACAATTTGCGCTATAGCGTTCATGTGGTACTGTGCAGCTTGCACCCCTTGAGTAACACGTTGGCAATCAAAAATTGGGACTGAACGAAAATACAAGATATCTAAATGCTTAGAATAGAGACAAAGATGATTGAATCTGGATGGGGACCTGCGATGAGGAAGACCCATTCTCAGATTCAGCTAGGAAATTTTGCACTTGAATACAACCTGACTTTCAAGTAGGAGTCGTGGTAACTATGAGCCACCTCCTGTTATGACAAATTTCACATTTACTTGCTAATTGTCAGCTTGAGAATTTAACCATGAGTAGATTGAAAAAAAAAACACCTTATTTGGCTTTGGGGGGCAACACAGATTGTCCCGTCTTGCTGTGCTTCCTCTCGGACCATGCGAAAAAGGTTTCTTACAAGGTCTTTCCTGGTTTGTCTTTTCTGCATGGAAAGGCGCATGGAGAAGTAAGGTGGCCAGCTACTTGCGGAGGCGC